TGCAAAATTTGTATTGATTCTAATTTATTTGAACTTTTGTTCATAATCTAACACACCTTACCAAGTCCTTTTCGATGCAAGTTTTAATGGAAGCATAGAAGTTTAAAAAACTTGTAAATGTAAGCAGAAATCATATAACTGGTTTGACATAACTTCCTGTTTATCAGGCATAAAGAAACTGACTAATGTCATACACAAAAAACAAATGAGAGGTTCATTGGAAACAAAACAAACCCTCTTTTTTCGTGGACTGCATAATGTGCTACAAGGGACACTATAAAATGCTCCTGATGTAATTTTCTCCTGAGGAAATGAATTTGTGTCCTCAAAGACATTTAGGATATTAAATTTGACATTGGTCTGGCTTTGTGGTTGCGATGCAAATCTCCTCACAGCTCATCTGCATCAGATGCTGAGATCATGGGAAGATGAGTCAGTACACACAGGACACAATCTGACTCAATGGATGTTTTTTTTTTCTCAAGAAATGAACAGTGATTTCTTCCTTTGCTGTGAGGCTGTCAGATTCTCCACCCCCTCTCATCCTTTCACTACTCCCACACTTGATTCTGGCCAGCTGCTCTCTGAGTTCCACATGCTACAAATTGAATCAAATGGCAGCTATTGTTTGCTTTTGCATAGAAAACTCGGGGTTAGCTTTAGGATTAGAATTTGATATGGAACTGTTTGAACACTACAGACAGGTATCATTGCAAAAAGATAAAAAGCCCCATGGTAAAACCAATGGTTTCTACAAAAGCAAGAATTCATTTCAAATCAAATATATGGAAACATATGACTTATGAACACAATGAAGATAAAATAAATGTTTTAAAATGAAAAATTAAGTTGACAAATGAAACAATAAAAGGTTAAAAATTATTGGCGCTCTCTCAATCAGTAAAACTGTCTGAAATTCCACAGTTCTAATTGTCATATCTTTTTTAAAATATGGACGCACAGATTTGTTTAAATGTTTTTCTTGTTGACTTTGTACAGTACCTAACCAGGTAGGAGATTCAGCAAATATACCTTTACATAAATTACTCAATAATTTGGGTTTGTAATAGTTTATCTCTGTAATTTCTATACATATAGTTTTATCTTGTGTATGTTATACACACACAAGATAATGTTATGTCGTAGAGAATGATTTGGCATCCTTCATGGGGAAGGTCTTTTCATTTTTCTTTATACGTGTTTTGTCCTCTAAATCCTTTCAATCACTACCCAAGCAGTTTCCCCCCTTTCAAACCAACTGATACAATAGCTTATTAACAAGAAAATGAAATTGACAGTCAAACATGCTTACATGTTACCAAGGTAACCAGTAAAATGGCACTCATGGAGGAAATGGATTGGTTGTTGGAAGAACGAATTGGGTTATTTTGGGAATGTTTGTTGGACATGCCTTTGAAAATACAGTGCCTAGTATCTTATAAAGAAACAAACACAAACGGGGAGCATCTTGGACCATGTGGACAATAGAGTGCAGTGTCCAGATGCAAAGAAAGAAGAAAAACGTAACCAAACAATCCGAGCTTAATCTAGATGCAGCCATCTAGCATCATCCCCGTATAACCAAAGCAGCGGTACAATATAAACACAAAAATAAGCCTTGTCTCAGCTGGTTGCTTTCAGAACAGCTTTGGATCCACGTTTCCTGCTCTGTGTAGGCTTGGCTGCGAGCCCCACCCTCTTCCTTTTCTCGTCATCTCGCGTACACTGTAAAACACACAAGCAGACACCTTCACAGTCAATCTCGGTGAGTTGGATGACAGTTCGGGCTGCCGTGCTGCAGGCCCCCAAAAAAAAAAACAAGCTGAGACGTTCAACTTTCCAGCTCTCAGGGCTTTCTTGCTGGCTTCCACTCATTTTGGCTCCAGGATTCACTTGTCTGTCCCCGATCAGCCTGCTGTGCAGTGGCTGCCAGAGCCATCAGTGTTTGGAGGGCTTCCTGTTAAACAGCAATACTCCAGGGAGGGTAGTGGATCTAATTTAGCAGAAAAAGCGGCGTGTGCCTGTGCAGAGAAGGGATAAAGGCAGGTTTGAGAGGCAAAGAGGCGAAGAGAGAGAAGGATCTCACTTTTGCATGAAATCCTAGGTAAAAATCCTAAGGTTATGCTATTTAATAGTTCAGTTGTCGAGTGAATATGATTGTTTCTATGGACATAATTCATCTCCCAGTTTGTGGATGTGACTTTTTCTTTTTAGCGGTGAGCTAAAAATATCTTGTTTTGATAAAAAAAATCTGGGGCATTGAGGCTAGTTACTGATTCCCTATGGGACATCATAGAGTTTATGTTTAAAGATCAATTTTACAGAGGGGAGACATGATGTGGTGATTATGAGTTCATACCTAGACGGACTGAAAAACCTACCATGGGCAGTAACCCAGGACACAGATTGATGACTCATTGCTTTAGTTACTGTATGTGCCAGAGTATGCATCCTAAGTAGGACAACAGAGTTCAGCCTCTGTTCCCAACCTGGAGTATTTCTGCTGGCTCAAAGTTCAAACAACCAGACTTTTTTTTTATGGAAAAGTATAATTATTTCACAAAAAAATAAAATGAAATCATATAAAACACATAAATGATAAGAGGTGTTTATGTGGTTTGTACCATATGTGGAGTGTATGGTTAGCAAATTTTGCAGATGTAGTAATAAGGTTTATTTATAGTGACTAGTAATCTGACAATAAATGAGAATATAATCTAAGTAAAAACAGGTATGTCGTCTTACATAGAGATTCTTATTGGTTAATTCTCAACCAGCTCACATGAATTTATGTACCGTCCACCTGCTGTACTTGCAGATATCCACGGCCTGGCATCATACGCAGTGTGACTGTTATAGATGGAAGTGGGAGAAGTAAGCTATTTATTTCAGCCATCTGTGACTGGCCTGAAATCATGGTGGACCACACAGTAAAAAAAAAGGACTGCAATGGAAGTAGTTCTGTGGCAATTGCTCATCAGTTTGACTTTTTCTTTCTGATATTATGTCCATCTTGGGAAGTTTATGAATGATGAATGTTGCATCGGTTGTTGAGTCAATATGTTTTCATGCATTTTATATGTTTTGATATTTATATAAAAGTGAAATGAACTGTGATGATAAAAATGCTAACAGATCTGTGAAATTGTAATAGCTATGGAGTAAATCTGTTGATATAGTTTAATTTAGAATACTAAATGAAAATTC